CAAATGATGAGATGATATGCCTCACTTGGATGCCCCCAAGTTGTTGAAGTCGATCCGATTCTTGTTACGTATTTTCTGTATGATTCTCTTGATAGTGGAGTAATTCTCGATAGTGCACCCTGGGACTCCGCTATGATTTTCGCAATGAGCGTTCTCATCATACTACCTGGGGTACGGGGCTTCATGGACACCACGTGTGCATCAAACAACTGTTGGTAAAGCTCTTTATATGTCATAGGATCGGAATGTTCTCTTTTTTGATGAGACATGTGAATGTAATGAAAAAAGGGAATCATAATGCGAATGTAAAGAAAAAATAACAAAATGCACAATATGTCTGAATGTATGATGCATGAAATGTTCGAGGCATTGATCCGAAAAATGTGCCTATTATTCTGAATAATCCTTATTGGAGACAAAAATGTTACGTCTGAAGAGACAAAAAACTTTTTTGATGGTATAGATCCTGCACAGCCTCTGGAAAGTTGATTCGTCTTCCGCTTTTTCACCGGTTGAATATCTTGTCGAACCATTCCAGTTCCTTTGGCTAAACTTGTGCGGGTAACGAGTTGCTTGCCCCAAAAAAGGTCTCGAATGACTGCATCTCCGGCCTTCGCTCTATGCCGAGCTCGTTCCAAACGAAAGTGTCATTGGAGCCCTCAATCCGAAGTTTGTCGACCTATTCTTGGAATGGTCTCCGGCTTAGCTAGGGTTTCACCATCTTGTTCTCGTAATTTTCGAAAGGACTCTCCGGGTCAGTAACCATTTCCTCGTCTTGCCCCTGCAACTTTTGCCTCTGAGTATTCTTTGATCACGGTTGGACTTCTGAGCTTTTTATCTCTTTGTATTATAACTCCTTTGTCCATTAATGCAGATTATTTACGTTTAACAAACACATTTTTGGTGGATCAATACCTCGTTTTAATGATGCGAATGATAAAAAAAATGCCAAAGAATAAAAATGAAAGGAGAAAAAAAAAGTTAGTGAGATAATGATGATAAAAAAAAATGATAAAAATGAAAATCTTACCCCACATGATATCTACCCCACATGCTTATTATTCCTACCCGAACATGATCTCTATCCCGCAAGTTGATTTTGAACAAGTCCTAACCGCATAAATTTCTAGTTCACATGCTTTGAACAGAAAGTAAAGCAGGAAATAATTCCGGCATCCTAGGGTTTGAAATGAGGTTTTGGGGTGGGCTCTAACTCCTTCAAAGTCTCCAGGTTTAGGTTCTAAAAACGGTACTCGAGTTCTCCTTGCTGGCGCCCCCTTGGACCGACCAGACCCTTAGTCCGAAACCCATCACAGGCTTGTGTGGACTAAGTTAAACTCGAGAGGACACATTCCCTTATGCCCATACGGAGAATAAATTCACACGAAGGCATAAGGTATATGAATCCCGAAGGTTACTTGCTAAGCCCATACGGAGAATAAATTCCCACGAAGGCGTCGCTTTCGCCCCCACTTAAAAAAGGTTCGGAGCTCGGGTATAGAGCTAGAGATGCAAAATTTGAAAAATATCTGAAATCATTAAAAAACGTTAGTACAACTATTTATTTGAAAAAAATAATCAAAGATAAATAATAAGAATCGAATAAATAAATTAAAATTTAAACTTGTAATTTTTGCTAAGACAACCGGAAATTAATTTCGGCCTGACTCACTTACTTGTCCCCAGCAGAGTCGCCAAGCTGTCGCGACCGTCTTTCGGTTGGGCCCCAGAATTGGGTTTCGACTTGAATTGATTGGGTTAGAGTCGCCACCGATCACTTTAAAAATGATATTTAGGTAGATCGGACACCATCTTACCTGATCTGCGTTTCACCAGAAATGTGTCGGGTTCGAGAGTCGGTTACGGTCAAGGAAGGATTAGCACCCTTGAACCGCCCTTTCGGTACCAATTACTTTATCAGTTATCTTAATTGCGAAAATTAAAGTTTAAAAATTCAATTCGAGATAATTACTTTTGATTGAAAAAATAAATAAAAAACGTTAGATAAGAAATAATAAATAAATATAAAAATAAATCAAAAGGGAAAAATAAAATAAAATATATAAAAAATAACACTTTAAAAGTAATAAAATAAACGAAATAAAAATTGCAAAAAAATATTAGTGAAAATAGAATAATAATTAAATAAAAAATATTAGATCAAATCATAAAAATAAATTAGGGGTTAGATTGAATTCAGGATAAAGTTTGTAGACTGAAAGTTGAAATATATATAAATTAGTGGCTTTGGGTGTAATTTACCCAGAAAAATCTACAAAACCAAATCTCTGCATCTCAATTCATTTTGCGCGTGTTTTCGGAATGTCAATTTTCCATTCTTTACACAGCCGGCCATAGGTTCCGGTGATCTTCATCGGTCTATCGTCATCGTCGACGGTGTCCGTTCATTATTAAATTTTACAGAGTGACTCGTTTCGGTCATCTGAGTCCAAATCCAGTGGTCGTTTCTCTAGAAAATGCTCAGATTGCCACAAAAGAGCCGAAAACAGTTCGGGATTTCTTGCTCCGATCCGTCACGGTCCACCGCTAGATCGTCTTGGTTCCGAAGTATGTTACTCGTCTCACCGCAATGAAACTTCCCACCGTTCATATTAGTGAATAAAGACTCCGGTCGTCGGAAAATGTCGTCAATCGAAAGAGAAGGTTTTCTTTTTTATTTGCTTATGTCAAAATAAAACACACACATCACATACACTGGAAATCGAAAATGCATTAAAATACCTCATGAAAATTCTTCTTTTTCTATTGCTTCTTGTCTGGGCGTGCTCCTCTTTATATTTGTTTTCGATTGAATATGTTGATTGCTTGATGTGTTTCAAATCGACAGAACATTTTTCAAAGCTTGATCATTCTCTATAAAAAGGCTACTGCTTTCTTTCCATATTGTATTAATTGAACAAGGAAGCAAGTTTCCGATTTTACAGAAGGATCCCCCCCTTTTTTTCCTTCCATTCTATGTGTATTTATAGTGCTAATTCGGTTTTAGACTCCCGTTAGGACTAAAACTCTTGCTTTGCTTGTGGCGAGGATTCCGGTGACGTGGATGGAGACGTGAGGCGAGAGGAGTCTTCGGGTTGACCGTGGAACTCGGCTGGCAGTTCCCCCTTGCATGTTGGCTGCAACGCTGAAGCTGTAGAAGACTAGGGTTTCTGTTGGGCCATTGTGTACAGGGCCTTGGAGTTTAAACTCATTTGTAGTATTGAACCTGAAAAATAAAATAGCAAATGAATAATAATATATAATGATATAATATAATAACATGTATATAAAATATAAAGTCGGACGAAAATGCATGTCGACAATTGTCTATTTTTTAGTTAATATATTTTTATTTTTTACTGTTAATATCAGTTATCTATTTTCACTCATTCAACATATCTAAATTTATGTGAAATTAAAAGAGTTTTATATTGTATAATAGGATTTTATCCTATTTAGTGGCGGAACACAATGAAGGCTAGTAAAATTGTAATTTAGACCTTTAAACTTTTTTAAATTTTAATTTGATCTCCCACAAAATTTTTAAAAATACATATTAATCTTTAAAATTTTTGAATATTTTTAATTAAACCCCTCCAATAATTTTTAAAAGTTCTCATTAAGCCTAATTTTCAAAAACTTTAGTTAGACTCCAATTTTTTTTGAAAAAATATAAATTGAACCCTTCAAAAATTTTAAAATTTTTAATTTAAACCTCTAAATTTTTTGAAATTTTAAATTAATCCCTCAAACTCTATCACCAATTTCCGATACTAATAGTGTTTTTTTTTATCGTAATGACTTCGGCATTACTAAGTCAAGCCAAGTGGTTTTTGTACATAGCGTCGGCACACCACATTCCCCTCTTGTCCACTATGGACCAATTGCCATTTGTCGATTCTCCAATCCAACTTTGTGCAAAAGGGATTGCTCCTCACACGTTTTGGGGTTTTATACTTAGAATATAAGTAGAAATAAAGAAAAAAATATATTGTAGTAGTAGTGGGTGTGTTTGACTAAGCAAATTATTCTCAATTCATGGAACCCTCCAAACTTATAAGCACTTCCCTCCATCGTCTATATAAAATTTATGTCTTTCTTTTAGTTGGGTATGTTTCTTTTCTTTATAATTCTCACCCAACATTCTCAATCAAGACAAACACAAAATTAGATTTCATTATTGAAGAATATCCCTAAATTGTATTGCATCATTGTCCTACACAACACAAACTGAATTGAGAGTGAGATTCCCACAAAAATAAAAATGGATAAGACAAAGTGGTTCATTTGTTTCCTTTGAAGATTATGCTGTTGACTTGATGATTAATCATAGAGCCATTACAATCATTAGTGGTTGTCATTTTTTTAAAATATGGAAATGATTCTTTTGCAACTAAATTCCTTACCCCCACTTTATTTTTATTAAAATCATTATAATGGAATCTCGATATAATCTTTCAAATATATATAAATTTACGCATTTACACATCAACAATATCTAGAGCATGTGATTAAAAGCTCTTAATTGATACGTTCCCTCTTCCTTAAGTGGTTAAAATCTGTAAGGAGCCAAGTGCATCTCCATTTTTTTTTTGGAAAAACGATTTAATTTAGTTGAATGTGATAAGAAAAAAAATAATCCATACCTATTATTTTTAAGGAAAGGGTATTAAAATTTTTGACTACATTCTTAAATTTATAGATTTGTTTAGCACCCCAACATCTTTATTAGGAATTCAAATTGTGGTTGTGGTCGCGTTTTCATTCGTATTGTGTTTATCGTGATTGCGGACATAATGAATATTATTGTAGTCATTGTGAGTATCGCGATCGTAAATTTTGGGAGAGAATTTTCACAAATTAGGAATGGTATTTGCACGGATATTTCAAATATTGATAAGTCAAAAGATGACCAATTCTCATGATCATTCCCTCTCTAAGCCACACTACAAATTCTCCCCCCACCCACTACTCAATATTAGACATGAGATCAACTTCTTTAACATCTGTCCTTCTCTTTCTAGTTCCAAGCAGAAAGCAAAAAGAAAAAGAAAATGCTGGGGAAAAAGATGGGTTCGTTGAAGAATCTAGCCAAGAAGGTGAAGGGCATGGGGGGAGGTGACAACGGTGGCGGTAAGCAATCACAATACGAATGTTTGCTAAGAGAATTCGAGCAAATGTCGCCTTCGGCGTCGACTCCGTCGGGGTTCTTCGCTGTTTATGTAGGAGAGGATGAAGAAAGGTTCGTAGTGCCGACCAGCTATTTGTCTCATCCACTGTTCAAGATGTTGCTGGACAAGTCGTACAACGAATATGGTTTCGAACAAAGGGATAAGTTGATCGTTCCCTGCAGCGTGTCTACGTTTCAACAAGTGGTGAATGCTGTAGAATGTTGTAATGGCAAGTTTCACTTGGGGAAACTTGTGCAGGAGTTGCTTTAGCAGATTGTTGGTCATAGTTCATACATATTCCACCCCTGCTGCAGTGCTGATTTTGGTAATGTTGATAACTTTTTTCTAGGTTGATTAGGTTCAATCATGTTCAAAAAAATGGATGATTATAAGATGGTATGTATTCATAATTTTCTTAACTAATTGATAATGAGTGCATACAAACTTTGCAGGCGCAATTCATACGACCTTTCTTTGATATATTCCGATGCAAAATCCATAATCTAGATAACATAGAGGGTAAACTACAAGTTTAGTACCTAAATTATTAGTTTTATTTTATTTTGGTATCTAAACTTTATTATTTTCAAAAGCATACCTAACGTTTAGTTTAGGTTTCATTATGGTATCCTATCATTGAAAATTTAACGGTAATGTTGACGTGTCACCATAACGTAATACCACATTATCATTGAAAATTAAAAAATATCACATCAGCACTTCTGTTAACTTTTCAAAGGCGGGGTACTAAATTGAAGCCTAAACTAAACGTTCGGTATAATTTTTTTAAATAAAGTCTGGATACCAAAATAGAATAAAAGTAATAGTTCAAATACTAAATGTGTAGTTTACCCTAACAATCTACTATATAGCTTTATATACGTCATTAATTATTCTCCATGCTTGGTTGCAGGTCATTCTTCTTAGAAAGAGAATTTTATACCAATTTATTGATCTTATATTCTATTCTATTCTTGAATTATGTTTTTTTTAATTATTTTATTTACATATTATATAAAAGTATCAAAAGAAAAAATATTTCTACTATTTAATTATTCTTTAAAAATAAAAGTATTTTAATAATTTTTTAATTAAAATTTATATCAAATGATTAATAATGCATACTCAATTAGCCATTTTATATACATTAATAATATATATTATGTAATAATAATTTTAATTACTATTTAATATTATATTAAGTTTGTATTATTATTTAATATAAAAATAATGTAAGTATTTTTCTAAATTTAATTTTTAATATAATATAATTCATTATATTTTATTATTTAATTTAAATATTTAGCATGTATATATATTTCAATTTTATATCTTTCATAATCATTTTTTATTGGGTAAAGTACACAAATAGTCCCTCGACTATAGGGTGATGCTTTTGCTGAGTCACTCGACTATTAAAAGTTACAAAATGGTCCTTCAACTATAAGATATTGCTTTGTTGAGTACCCCGACTATTAAAAGTTACAAAATGGTCACCTGTGTAACATCCCGAAATCCGGGTCAGTGATTAAAATGAAATTTTTTGAAATTTGGTGATAAAAGTAGAATAGTTAAATAGTTTAATGACTTATTGGAAATATAGTTGAAGGTTGTTTAGTAATTATTGAATGAATTAAAGGGTAAAATGGTCAATTGACAAGTAAGATTTTTATTTCCCTTTATAAGATAAGGGAACCACGTGGAAGATGAGAGATTTCTCCAGAGTTCTCTTCTTCTCCTTTCTTCTTCTTCTTCACGTGAAGGCATAAGCAAAGGTAAGATCTCTTGTTAGTTGATATTTAGTCGAATTTAAGATGGGGTTTTGATAATTAGATGATAATTAAGCATAAGGAAAGCTTAATTTATCTTAAAACCATAAGATAAAGGAGTCAAGAGAGATTAAAGATTAGAAGTTTTTAAAGGAAATCTTGAATGAAAGTTTATAAGTTAAATTTGACTTGTCAAGGGTCTAATTAAGAAGTTAGAAGCCATAGAATTGGAATTAAAACATGTTGCAAAGTTGGTATAATTCTTGAGTTACATATGAGGAATAGAATTTTGAAGTTAAAGATGGTTTATATGGATATAAAATGGTTTAAGCATGTGTATATGAGTTAAGAACATGAAAGGGAATGAAAGATGAAGTATTTGAGTGGATTTGAGTGGATTTTCATGCACGAAATGGAATTCTGGGCTAGTGTGCATCGGTACACATTCAACCTGTACCGATGCATCAAGGGTAAATTTCCAGAAATTGTTCAGTGTGTATCGATACACAGGAAGTGCATCGATGCACCCTTTAAAAAATGGAAATATCGAATGCAATTAGTGCATCGATGCATAGGAAGTGTATCGATACACCTCCCTTAAGATTAAAACATCGAAGGTGCTTTGTGTATCGATGCATGGGTAATGCATCAATGCACATGTTAAGGGATGCATCGATACACTGTAGAATGTATCGATGCACTTTAATGGGAAATGGAATAAATCGTTATTTCAGTTTATGAAAAGATAGATTAAGTATATAAAATGGGATACGGATAGTATAAATATATGATTGTGTAGATATCGATAGAGAGCAAGTTCCGTAATGATTGAAAGGTTATAATTGATCAAGAAGAGAAAGAAAGCCATTGGAGTAGTTGATAGCAAGTGAGGCCAAGGTGAGTGCATCTTATTTTAATATAGGATTATGTGGAAATTGGACTTGCGATAAGTCTAATTCTTATAGTTGTAGTGCATTAAGTCATGAATATAAGTATGTGAATTTCCTGATTTGTATGTATTCATGATTATATATATTGATATGTTTTTGTGTGTGATATATGATTTATGTAAAAATATTATTATGTGATATATGAAAATGTAATGTAAACTACATATAAATGGTGAGACGTGTAAATATATGTACATAGAGAGAAATAAGAGATTAAAATATAATACATATAACAATGAAATATGAGACTATGTGAATACATGTCTATAAGATAGATTAGGTAAAAATAGGAGAATACAATATAAGTGAGTTTATGAGAAGCGATATGAACTGGGTAAGCATGTATAAAAGTTATATGAACAGTAGAAACATGAATTGGGTAAGTACATAGTTAGGTGATCATTTATATGCATTAGTATAATAGAATTATATGATTTAATAAGAATTGAGATAAGCTAAATAAGATTGACCATATAATGAAAGGAGAATAGTATATTAATTAGGAAGCTTGAACATAAGTGATAATACGAACATATAAGATACACTATAAGGGGAAAATTCATGTACTTGAATAAAATTATGACATATAAGGTATATGAAATTGAACTAAGTAAATAGATTAGATTAATATATATATATAAGTGAAATGATAGAAGTGATACATGTTTATAAGTATGTCATAGATTACATGATATAGGTAAATATAATATAATGAAGCTTAAGCTATATGAGATTATATAAGTTATTAAATATGATATATGTGATTATGAGAAGAAGAACATAATCATGTGAATATAAGTATAGGTAAAATGATATATATATATATATATATATATATATATATATATATATATATATATATATACTATATATATATGACTATGAGTTGGAATAATGTTATATGTTTTATACTAGGATAAATTATGAGACTATATGTGAAATGAAATGAGTACATATTTATATGATGAGATGGTGAACTATATGAACATGTGAATATATGTCTATGAGAAGACATAAGAATAAGATATAAGCAAGGTGATAAGAAATGTGAAATGACGTGTAAAGTTAATATAAGTTGTGTAAAAGTGATCTATGTGATTATATGTATATGTGATCCAAGTTATGTGACCTAAGATACGTGAAAGGTGAAAGTGAATTATGTGTCTATGTGAATACGTGAAATGACATAAATAATAATGCCTATGTTATGTGTCATGAAGGATAGGGATATAGTTGGCATGCCAAGAGTCGAGAGTCTACGCGGTCCTTCGGGACATATATGTATTCCTTGGAACATGCGTGATGTCTTTTGAGACACATACTTGATCCTTTGTATATTTATATGATTCTTAAGGAATTTTCTACGTGGTCCTTAGAGACATTTTATATGGCACTTCGGTGCAATTCTACGCGCCACTTCGGTGCAATTCTACGTGGCACTTCGGTGCATTTATACGAGTTGTGGTGACAATATTAGTGCACAACCTCAATAGACTCATATATCTATAGTTCTCAAAAGTGTACATGGGCTAAACAAAGATATAACAATGAAGATGGTACTGGTGAAGTATATGTTTTTGTGATATTAATTGTATTATATGAGTGTTATGATGATGTGCGTATGGTTTGAATGAGTCATATGTTGATGAAAAGTATGATTAAAGGATATAAATGATAATAATGTGGATAATAGAATAAGATTAATGATGGAAATAATGTGTGATGTGTATATGTGTACATTATATTATATATAATGATTGTGTGACATCATGAAGTAATATGTTCATACATGTTTAAGCATTTAGAGTTTCCTTTATAAATTTAATGCCTCACTAAGTCATAGACTTAGCGTGTGATTGTTTCACACGTAGGTTAAAGAAGCGAAGAAGAGCAAGACAGGTCAGCATCTCCCTTACAAAATTTCAGATCAGAAAATAGATGATTTAAATGTGTTTGGTTAATTTGAATATAGTTGACATGTACTAATTGATTGAGTTGAATATGCTTTGATTGATTTTTGATTATTTTGGTCAATTTATGTAAATAAACCGCTTTTATTTTAATGAAAGTTTTAAAGTTTCTTTGAATTTTGTCCAGAGTCAAAGTTTGAAAAGTCAATGTGACACCTCAGACTCGTATTCGGGTCGGGTACGGGTTGGGGGTGTTACAACCTGACTATTTAGTATGTTCCAAACTCGTCATTTTCCGTTAAAATATTGACAATAGTTTGAGCTCGTCATTTAGTATGTTATCATATCTCAATCATCAGGTTAACATCCAACTCAGACTACCGTTAATTTTTTAACGAAGAAGGACAAGTATGGAATATACTAAATAGTTGGTTGATCATTTTGTAACTTTTAATAGTCGGGGGACTCAACAAAGCAACACCCTATAATCGAATGATCATTTTGTAACTTTTAATAGTCGAGAGACTCAACAAAGTATCACCCTATAGTCGGAGAACCATTTGTATACTTTACCCTTTGTTATTCTAAGTCTTACAAGCAAGAACGTAAAGAGAAACAACTTATATCATTAATCAATGAATTTTTTAAATCATTTTTTATTTTTTATTTTTATACAACGACGAGTCTAAAGAAGGAATTTATAATTTTAATTCACTTAAAGTTAATTTTTGAAGATTTCTATTGTAATCGCTCCACTTTCATTTCTTTACAATTTGATTCTAAAATGTAAAAAAGTCACAAAATGCATCATAATAAGGTGACGATTTTGATATTTTTTAAGGGAAAAAATATGAAAGTAGAAAACAAAAAGTAATCAATTTTCTGAATAAAAAATCAATAAAAATTATCGACATCACACGAGGACTCTCTCACACACAATAAAACCACTCATTTTCCTAAATAATTTATATCCATCTCTATTCTCTTATAATCTCTTTTAAGCACAATATTTCATTGGGTAAACTATGCATTTAGTACCTAAACTATAAGTTTTTATCCGTTTTAATATATAAACTTTCACTTTTTTTCAAAATCATACCAAATGTTTAGTTTTTGTTTCATTTTAATACTTCGTCGTTAAAAACATAATGCATTTATTACCTAAACTATCAGTTTTGGCCCGTTTTAATATCTAAACTTTTATTTTTTTCAAAACTTAACGTTAAGTTTTTAAGGAGGTACTAAAATTAAATAAAAACTAAATGTTAGGTATGGTTTTAAAAAAAATTGAAAGTTTAGGTACTAAAATAGACCAAATTGATAGTTTAGGTACTAAACTTGTAATTTACCCTATTTCATTAATTAAGTTGTTTCTATCATTTAATTCTTTTTAGAAAAAGAAGAAGAAAATAATAGGTAAAGTGCTGAAAATACTTTGTTTATTCAAGTGTAGGCCTGTAGGGGGACCAAGACAGAACTTTTTTATAAAATATATATTTAATTTAAAATATAAAAAACAAAGTACTTATAAATGATTTTCCTTTTTCTCGGAAAATGAAGGAAAGAGAAAACTTAGGTTTGGGGAACATAGTAAGTGGGGGACAATTGTTACAATTAAGAAACCAAACTGCATATTTCCTAGAGGTAGCTCTCGGATTTAAAGAAGACTGGTCCACAACTTTTATAACCCTATAATCGGTCAATAAATCTTCGACTGTAAACTCTAAACACGTAATTTTTTTTTTGTTATAAACGAAAATATTATAAATTTATATAACTTCTTAATTGGATAGATAACATTTAAATTAAAAACCGTCTTAAATTAACCTTATATTAGGCTGCACCACAATACAACTAGCCATAAATCTATGTTTCAGCATCAACAATATTGTTCCCCGCATCCACTAGTACGCACTTCATATTATCAACCAGCTCACGCATTTGTTCCCTTGAATGCAGTGGCCAAGGGTAGACGCAAATGCAATCGAGTCCGCCGTCGCGTACGGTGTCGAATATGGCAATGGATGGCGCGATGCCATGAGCGGAAGCGCACCCCATGTAGTCCTCTACACCGACTTGGTTTCGCTGGTCGTTCGACTCGTCGACCACGGTGTCCTCGAACACCGACATCAAACACGTTCTCAACGAAGATGATGGAGTCAAGCCAGGGCTTTCCATGGCCCTGCACATCAAGAAATTAAGGTCTGCCATGTCTGACAAGTGCCTGTTGTAGCTCTTGTAGCTTGTAAACGACGTGTACATTTTCTTCGCTAGCTCCCAAAGCTTCTCACCTCCTTTAATGGTGTGCGTGTTGAGAATAGCTGAGTGGTAAAACCCTAAAACAATAAAGATAGTGCCAACTAAAATGATTTTCCTTATTTGGCATGGAATTTAAAACATGCAACTTTGGTTTGGTGTTGGGTGTTTCCAAAATGGCACAACCAGCATTGATTTGTTAGTAATGCACGTTACTTTTAGGAGGTGGAGTGGTTAGAGTGAGTAGTTATTATTTGATAATTTTATCACTATACTATTTTTATAAAAGGGATAGTTTCTCATCTAATTGTAACATATAACATATAGTTTCTTTATTTTTTTTCCTCACAAATTTTGTCGAAAAATGCAACATAAGCAGTTTTCACTTTCTCACTCATTTTGGGTTTATGAAATTTGAAAGATTGTGATAACTATGGGCAACAATATTAGTAATGTAAATATTAAGGAATTGTTTTTAAAGAGTTGGTTACCCACATATAGGGAATAGTTAGAGTGGGTAGTCGACAATTGATAATTTTACTCCTATGCCATTCCTATAAAAGGGATGGACTCTCTCTAATTATATATACAATTGATGCTTTCTGTATTTCCTTCTAGAAAGGATTTTTTATCGAAGATTGCAGCACCTTCGAATATACAAAATTTGATAGACTGTTAATTTTGGGGGAAACTTCTACCGCAACATAGTAAATCATTTCTTTTATTATTATTTACTACTCAATGCTAACATTTTTGTTTTACGACAGTACTACTCAATGCAGCAATATTTGACTAACATGGTTTAGTGGCTTCTATAAAAGAATTAAGGAAAAGGGTGGTGGTTGGTGGGGACAGGTATACAGATTGACATAAATACACATTTCAGGACCTAATTCATTAATGAACGAGATTTTTCTCAAGAAAGATCCTATCAATGACCTAGTATGGTCATGGTCTATGATTTTGACAAGTTGGAGGCCATTTCAGCTGCAGGATAAGTCATTTATCTGGTTAGCCTAAAATAGAATTTATCAGAGTTTAATTAGCTTACCGAAATGGTGATCGGAGAGAGGAGGTTCAAGAATCGAGCGGCAATCAGTGAGGGTGACGACACCGTATTTCTTCTTCTGATGATGATCGGACTGGCATTTAGAACTGTGCGCCGCAATCAACCCGGCAGCACTTAACGCTCCACACAGCTTAATCCCCATTGCCTTGCAACCCTGAAATATTTCAGTTAAGTCTCATCGTAATACAGTGTAATAGTTTATAATATCTTCAATTACTATCGTAATTATAATTTAGTACTGTGATTACAAGCTTGAATTGATTACTTACAGTCAAGATCTTGTGAGTGTCGTCAGGGTTGATAAGCAATCTCACAACTTGAGTAGATCTGGGAGACTTTGCATCTTTGAACTTCAAGTTCGTAAGCCTTAAAGAATTAACAGAGTAGCTTAGCATGTCGACTCCACGTGCCCAAAGTGTTTTCTTAGCCATCCCTTTAGGAAGAAGATCTTCAATGGCCAAACTAATCTCTCCTTTGTTCATCGTTATTTCTCTCTCACCCTCATCTTCAACCGCCATTAACGTCAACAGCTCTCTCAGCAACGACACCGCCGTGGTCCTGTCGCATGCAGCGGCGTGTAGGCGGAACACCAACACCCACCTCGCTGCACTAGGCAAAGCGTAAGTGCTGGCGAAAACAACGTCGGTTTTGGTGCTGAATGAAGTACTACTACCAGTCCATGCGTTTTGGTTAAGCTCGTGTTCGAGAATCAAGTGGAGGGGCGAGATGTTTTGGCCACCTTGGAGGATTTGAGCGGTGGTGGAATGGTTGAAGTGGTTGATTTGAATGGAAAGGGAAGCAGTGGTAACGAATGAGTAGGTGTTGGCACTAGGATTGTGATGGAGACGAGACCTGAGAATTGGATGCAAATTTTGAAGTTTGTGGATGGCGTTTTTGAGACGTGATATGTGCATGTCGGGATTAACTGATGAAAGGATCGCCAAGACGGCGATTCCGGTGCCGCCGACCACCGCGCGGCACCAATTGAGCTCGGTGGCGCCCGCAGCTCGGCCATTGGGATGTAGGATTGGGGAGTTGAGACGGGTGGACATATAGTAATTATAGCAGCAGCGGTTAGGGAATATAGTAATTGAAGTCTACTGCTGCGTGTGCTTAGTTTCGGTGAACTTTAAGTGATATATATATATATAGATAGATTTACAGTTGGGAAATAGCAATTAAATGAAAATTACCATCCCTCGTCCGTCCCATTAATATTAGGATGTACATGTTCGAGTTTTAGATTAACCCGATTCGACTTAAAAAATATATATTTTTTACGCAAAACTCGATCATTTAGGTTTAGATTGACTTAATCCCACTTGAAACCCAAACCGTTTTTTAAGATAAAATTTGAACTCAATCCAACTCAAAACAAATATTTTTATAAAATTATATAAATTTTATTCAATAAAATAAGTATTTAATTGAAAAATAATATAAAGAGGGATATTGTTATAATTATCCCTAAATATATAAGATATAATTACATTACTTTTGGGTCGGGTCGGATATTTTTTACTCTAAACTCAAACCTGATTTAACTCAAATTTATCTATAAAAAAATTCAACCCGACCCAACATAAACTCAAAATTTTCTTTTAAAAAACTTAATAAAGTAGAGTCAAATTGAGTTGGAATCAGTCAAATTGAATCAAAACCCGTTAAATTCGAGTCCTATGCTCATCCCTAATTAATATTGATATATGAATTTTTATTTTACATATATGAAAATGTAAAATACCGACTTACGTTTTTTTAATCCAAAATTATGATATTTCTTTAAATAATCGAGAGTGATTACAAGTATTTATTCATTTGTAAAAAAATTATTTAAAAAATTAATTTATCGGTAACGTTCGTACCGGAAAATACAATTATTCAAATTAAAAATATTAAAGAATAATATTCTTAACCCTAAAACCATTCAATGAATTTTATTCTAAAATTATGAGTTTGATGAGAGATTAGAGGTAGTCTCACAAAGTAAACATATGTCCTATTTAGGGATGAGCATGGGACGGGTCGGGTCGAACTTTCGGTCAATCCGATCTGACTCAAAAATTATATATCCTCCACTCGAACCTGACTCGATTTGAAAATATACAATCTCCACTCGACACAAACCCGACCCAACTTTTTGAGATAAAATCCGAATCAACGAGACCTGACCCGAAATAATATATTTATTAGAAAAATATTATTTTTATTCAATAAAAATAGGGATTTAAATGGAAAAATAATATATATAGGGGCATTATTACAATTATCCCTAAATATGAAGATAAAATTACATGTTTTTCTTGGGTCGGGTATTTTTCACCCTAAACCGAATTCAATCCGACCTGAACTCATTTTTTTATAAAAAAATATCTGACCTGATCGGGTCAAATCGAATCAAGTCAGAACCTATCAGATTTGAATCTCATGCTGATCCCTATTCGTATTCCAAGTAAATCTAGTTACTATGCATTCAATAAGTTTGCAACTCTTTTTTATTAAAAATAAAAAACATGTTTTGAATGCTTTTATTGGACCAAACAAATTTTTTGGTTGTGAGAATTTATTAAATTCATGTTATTTTCATTCGGTGGCACACGGATTTATTGTTGGAGAAGAAATAAATCATATTTCTACACACACTTGATCAATAAAAGATTTTAGTTTTTTTTATTCGAGAATGGATGAATTTTTTTGAATTTTTAATAGTTTGAGGCTCAAATTTAAAAATAATATTTTTTATTAACTTGCCATGTCAATAATCTAACATAGGTTAACGTCTAAGTGATCAAAATGTTAAAACCTGAAAACAAAAGTGATTAAAACCAATTTTTTTTTAAAAAACTGACGACCAAAACATAATATATTAAAAATAAAAGGGACCATTCGTGTAGTTTATCCAAGGAAATAATGAGAAAAAAAAATAGGTAGCAAGGCAAGTCTCGTGTTTCACCAATTAAAGAATATTCATATTTAATGTCTGGAGGCTTTGTTGCCCTTCCAACAACCTTATTTTCAATATTTAAATTTGAAGTTTTTATTCATTGTATTTATCATGGTTATCAAAATCGGACCGGATCGATCGATTCAACCGGTTGAACCATGAATCGATGGCCTATCCGATCCGATTACCTCACAAAATCGGACTGTCAATGAACCGGCTAAAAACCGGTTGAAAACCGGTAAAACCGGGGTGAACCGTCTGAAAACCGGCAAAACCGGTTTGAACCGCCAGTTCACTTTTTTTCTTTTAAAAAAAAATAAACCAAACGACGTTGTTTATTCAACGAGCCGAGTCAAATTCGAGTATTGATGAGCTCGACTAGAACTCGAAAAAAAGTAAGACTCGACTCAAAAACTCACGAACTAAAAATTATCAAGTTCAATTGAACTCGAAATATAATATTAAAACTTGAACTCAAAAAAGCTCGAACTCAAAAAAAATTAGAAGTTCGATTGAAGCCTAAAATTTGAGCTCAATTGAAACGAAAGAATAGTTCGCTCTGTGCTCACCAAAATGCTCCATGATTTTGAATGTCAAATTACCTCTATTATTTATAAAAGTAAGTTGGGATGTTCTACTATGTTTCTTAGCTAAGATTGTTTTGTTATCATATTTTTACTCTTTAAACTTTTGGGATGCTCTTTTATGTTTCTTAGTCATGTGAGATTATTTAAAAAAAATTAAATCAAATGACATCATTTGTTATGATTTTTTTAAGCCCCAATTTTATTTTTTTATTATAGTTATATAATTATATTTATTATTTAATATGTTTTACCTTAAATATTATGTTGTAGTTGATTTGAATCATTTTGTTTTACTTGATTTTATGGTTTTTAATTTATATATATTATGACTTGTAATATTTTTATACCTTTTAATATTGTAAACTTAAAAAAAGTGTTACATATATACTAATATTGCTTTGAATATTATGTAAAATTAAAAAAAAATTATATAAAATCCGGTTCAACCGCGGTTGAACTAGTGAACCAGAGAACCAGTACCTTCACCGGTTCAATGTCCAGTCCGATTTTAAAAATATTGGTATTTACATCTAATATTAATTAGTATTATTTATTTATTTATATTACTATTATATTTGTGGCTAAATTTTAGCTTATAATTAATTAAACATCAAATAAATATTTATTTATTTATTTATTTTATAATATTGTAAAATGAACTTTAGCATTTTTGTTTGAATAGAAGTCACTAGTTTTATTAAAATTAAGAGTGGATCTACCAAAATCATGGCCCACCCCATAACAAGAAAATAAAAATATAATATAATTTTAAATGAAAAATATATATAAATTATGTTAAAAAGTATAGGGCAAACTACAAATTTAATATTTAAACTATTAATTTGTTTTGTTTTGGTAGTTAAACTTTATTTTTTTTCAAAATCATACCTAACGCTTAGTTTAGGTTTCAATTTGGTACCCGCTTTTAAAAATTAACAGAACTACTGATATGATATTTTTTTTATAGTTTTTTCAATGATAACATGACATTACCTTATGGTGACATATCAATATCATCATTAAGTTTTTAATGGCTGAATATCAAAATAAAACTTAAACTAAACGTTAAGTATGATTTTGAAAAAAAAAATAAAGCTTGCATATCGAAAGGAACAAAAGTAATGGTTTAGATAATCAATATGTAGTTTACCCAAAAATATATTGGTCTAATTGATATTTTTTAGATTTAGTTTAAATATATATAGTTTTTATTATATTTTTAAATTAAAATATATATACAAATTATATTAGATAATTTTTTATTATATTTATATTAGCTCATCCAATTAAATTTTTCTGTATCCACCACTGATTAAAAAAAAACACCCAAAATTATAATGAATGTTCACAATAATGAATGTTCACAATCATAACCATAAACTAAACGCATAATTAGGATATTTTCCTATAATCACTAACACAATAAACTAATCACTTGAGATCATACAATGGTCATATAAGGAAAATGTTAAAAACCCAACCAAAATATTCAAACAAAGATAGATACCCATTGATATGAGCATCGGAAAATGAACTACAAACGGCAATGAAAACTACTGAAAGACCACCGATAAATCGTATATCAGAGTCGAGCAATATGGAAAACTATCCATGAACGCAACCATGTATCCCAATCCAGTCCGAGGATCCAAAGCAGGAAAAATCATTATGATAATAAATAAGTGTCATCTTGATTAGTCAAGGCATTGTTAAATCCAACCCTAAGAAAAGATAAAAGTAAAAAGAACGACCAAAAGACAGAAGAAAATGTGCCATAAAAATAAAAAAAACATATCACAAAGACAGAGTTATTGAAACCTAAAAATAGTAAGGAAAATAAAGATATACTATAAAAAAACAAAAATTAAGAAGTACCGGAGATCAATAACCAACACTAAGGATAATGTCTCCGTCGGTTAAGTGAAAATATAAAGGGAAAAACCTAATTAACTTTGTCATTTAAATTTGTTACATGATATTTTTGAAATAAATTCTGAAATTTAAAAAAAAAATATGATATATATAAAAGTAAGGATCTAATTATATATTAAAAACTTTTTAGTTCAATATAAATTTAATACTGTTGAATGAGTGAAAATAGACGGTTGAGATTAATAGTATAAAATAAGAATATATTTATTGAGAAAAAACAAATAGTTAATTTCAGTAGTCTATTTTCATTCATCCAATAATCTTAAATATGTATAATACTAAATTAAAATTTCATAAGAGTGGTGGAGGGCTTAGTTCTCAGATGAGAGATGCATGTAGCATCATCTAAAATTTGCTGTAACATTTCTTGTATTATTCTAATAACACAAAGATGCCCATGAGCATGGAAGGACAAAAGAAGATTGATGGGACGAACATGTTTTGAATAATTTAAATTCTGGTATAATTTAGATAATTTTATATTTTTATTAATAATTTAATTTTCATTCCGTAAATTTTATATATTTAATCCCCTAAAATTCCATAAATTCATTCTCCTAATATAAAATTTTAGTTCATCCTATATACCAATATCATATCTTAAATCTCAAGTGGCTGATATATTGAAATTTTTGAGA